CAACCTCCGTCTGCTGGGTTCAGGCAATTCTCCTGCCTCAGCCTCCTGAGTAGCTGGGATTACAGGCACGTGCCACCATGCCCAGCTAATTTTTTGTATTTTTAGTAGAGACGGGGTTTCACCATTTTGACCAGGATGGTCTCGATCTCTTGACCTCGTGATCCACCCGCCTCGGCCTCCCAAAGTGCTGGGATTACAGGCGTGAGCCACCTCGCCCGGCCGAATTTTTTTAAATCTATGCTAACACTTAAAAGAACTATATATAGTAATTTTTCCTTATAGAATTATGTGTTTCATAAGTGAACTTTTCAGATAATGGAACTTTAAATAATTAAAGTTTTTTTTGACCATTTTAGAAGAATATCTTTCTAAATAGAAAACACGACCCTAACGAAAGCTTTCCTTCATTACTCACTGTCATCATAACACACACAACAGTGTGAGTTCTGTAACGAATAGCACCTCCTGGGTCAACCAGAGTTGTATGAAACCATTCACTCTGACACTCAGTGAGTCCAGAGTTCTGTAGGTTTGCCATTTCTGCCATCTTGTTTATCTCAGTCCCACCTGAGCTATTAGCTATAGTATTTCACAGTGTATTCAAATCTAAGTTGCATTATGAATTGGTATACTTTTCCCATTTGAACCTAACAGTGACTCTACAGTAAGGAATATACTTATGGGCTTTAAGATGTTATTTCTTGAGATGACTTTTTTGTTTATTTACTTTCGGATTTTTAGGATGGTTTATGGATGGTTGAGTTATTGCTGGTAGCAGGAAAGTGAGGTAGATTAGATTTTGTGTTTCTTCTTTTTTTTGTTTTTGATACAGTATGCTATATCAGAGACAAGAGGAAAGAGGCCTTTAGGGCAATGTTAGTATATCTAGTAAAGGAATTACAGTTCTGTTCACTTACAGAATAATGTGGTTTAAGTTGCTCTTCTTGCCCAAACTCTAGAAACTTGTCAACCTTGGAATATCATGTGGATATTTTACCATTTTACTGTCTTATGTACAACTTGTTTGAAAGCAGAAAGCTTAAAGAGCAAGAAAAGTCAAGTCTTCATTTCTTCTTTACAAAGTAAAGAAGAAATGAAAGGTGAATTTCATAAGAAAAAGGAGCAAAATCTGCTATAAACTGATCAGAAGGGAATTCCTAATGTTGGTATCTTATATTATTGTTCAAGGTCACATAAAGATCACATTTACTGACCTGGGGAATGCTGGGAAGTTGCAAGTGAGGTCATGGAATTAGAGAGGTTAAGGTTGGCAGTGATACTAAGCTGGCTCTGCAATGCAGGAGGGTAAGGAGATGTGGGTGTCAGGAGGGATTCCTCACTGGTTTCTTCATCAATTCCAGGCAGGTACGTGTCAATCAAGGCATCAAGAAACTTAACAATAAGCTCAGCATAGTCTGGAATTTGTGTTTGCTGTAATGGAAAATAGGAAATTATTTTAACTCCCTTTTTTGTTTTTAAGTAAATCCCCATCTGAAGCCAAAATATATTAATTTTGTTTAGACTTAATTTACTATTTTCCTTCCTTTGTATTACTTATCATTAAAAAAGGGGAGTGGAGTAATATTTATAGACTACCATAGGACTTATAACAAGGAGTTCTATTCAGCTTACACTTAAAGCTTCAAGATGAACCCACATTTTCTGAAAGCCATGCACAAGACAGACTGAATTTAATACTGAGACAATACAATCATCAGGAATGATGTCTAGCCAATTTTCCAAAACAGAGAAAATGAGCAGAGCATAATCATTCCAGCTGCCATTTAGATTCTACTCATTAGACGCTGTAAAGGGCTCAGAGAGTTACTGGCAATCCAAATGCAAAAACTGCTGTATAATAATATACTTATTTCTACAACTTAAGGCCCACTTTTTAAGTGACAACCTTTGCATGTCAATAGATATTCAGTAATAGCAAAAGGAAATAAATGAAATACTCAATTCTTAAAAACTGGAACAAGGTTTATATAATTCATATTGATTTAGCAGCCCCTGTATCTAAAACACTACACTAAGAACTGTTCAAGGAAGAAACAGAAATCCTACCTTCAAGGAACTTTGATCAATTGGAGAGAGACCACATACAGAGAAAATGATTAAACACATATTATGTAGCACTACATCAACTAATGCCAATCAAAAAGCAAACTAAGGCCAGGTGCGGTGGCTCTCACCTGTAATCCCAGCACTTTGGGAGGCCGAGGCGGGCAGATCACAAGGTCAAGAGATCAAGACCATCCTGGCTAACATGTGAAACCTGGCTCTACTAAAAATACAAAAATTAATTGAGCATGGTGGCGCACATCTGTAGTCCTAGCTACCTGGAAGGCTGAGGCAGGAGAGCTGCTTGAACCTGGGAGGTGGTGGTTGCAATGAACCAAGATTGCATCACTGCACTTTAGCCTGGTGATAAAGTGAGATTCTGTCTTCCCAAAAAAACCCCCCAAAAAACCAAAAACTGAATAGGAGTAAAATAAGGACAAATCCAGAGAGGAATGAATCTAATCTAATAGGTCGGAAATAAAAATGCTTTCATGAAACAGATTTTAACCATGGTAATACTCTTTGCTAGTCATAAAAATATTTAATTGTGTGCATTACGATTATCAAATACACAGGGACTGAGGCAGAAAATTATCACAGAGGTTTATCACACTCTTCTGAAAAGTAGAGCATAAGCTGAGTTTGTTTGTAAAAGTGAATACACACACACTCACACCATGCTGCCTCCTGGAACGAAACCTTGTGACAAGAAAGTTTCAAAAAGTAACATATGTGTTTATCATGAGTTATTATTCTGGTTTTCAGCATATTGTGTGTTAAAGCAGGCATACTAATTTGAACAGAAATCTTCATTTTACCATAAGTTAGAGAAAAATATTTTTTCTTACCTTTGAAAAGGGTCCTGCAAACCGCCACAAGCCATTAAAACCAAAACCTGCAACAAATCAAATGTTACTCTTATAACAAGCAAGATATCTTTTAATTGTAACAGAAGTTAAATAAGTTGTATAGCTGATGATATGTAAACTCTATGTACACGTTGAAAACATTTTAGAAGGAGTGTCAAAGAGACTAAAATCTACTTAAAATATATTCAGTATAAAACCACATTTTAATTTAAAAGGTTGTCCACCAGTTACATCGAACATACAATTGAGAGAGTCGAAAAATGGAATATGGAAATAAAAGTATGAACAAGTCTATCCCTTATAAAGAATTCTGTAGCCAGTGCATTCTACAACCGTGTGCATGTTAGCAAGTTCATCAACCATCCTTCTCCAGATACATTTATTTACTTTGCAGGTAAGATGTTTGGTATTGTGGTGGGGATTCTTCATGGTATACCACACTCTGCACAATTCCATGGATCGGATTTAACAAATTTGGATCTTGGCACAATGATAACAAGGTGTTGATCTTAGAGTCCAACAAATTATGCCTAAAAAAAAAAAAAAATCAACAGAAGAACGTTTTAGAGGAAAATTAAATGAAAATATGCAGTGGAAAACATAATATACATTCCCCAGAATAATGTGCCAAAATTGAAGGGAGATAAGCATTTTTTGCTTTCTGAGGTATTTCTACACTTTCCAAATTTTCTACAATGAACGTGTGTGTGTGTGTGTGTGTGTGTGTGTGTGTGTGTGTGTGTGTGTCTGTCTGTCTGTCTGTCTGTTTTTGTCTGTCTTTTGTTTTAGTCACCAGGGAAAAAATGGTGAAAACAAACAACTGGTAGTGTCACATAACCATGTGTAACCATACACGGTAAATGTTTGCCTAGAACAAGGTTGGCTCTGTCTGCTACTTAGCCTTTAGTACTATTTCCATCTGTTGTATGCTGACACGCACTTAGGGATTTAAAACTAAATTTAGGATCTGTGCAAAAGAAAAAGAAAAAAAATTAAATTTAATGTTAATCAGTTGTTTTAAAATGCTGAGTCAGATCAAATAGAGAAAGCAAAATTAGTTCAGAGGGAGTGAAATACATGATCCGATTGAAACTTAGGAAAAAAATTATTTCTAACCTGGCTACACTCCGTTAATAAAAATAACGAGTCCAAACTCTCTAAAATTCTAACATTAGATTAAAAAAAAAAAAAAGAAAGAAAGAAAATAATGACACGATATAGAAGGCCTAGATCAGGACTAGAATTTCTCTGAGCTATTTAAATTTGAACACTTTGAGGTTAATATTTTTAAATCTTTAAGAGATAATAAAATGTACCTCATAAATAGAAGATCAATTTTGTTTTCACTCAGCTGTGGATAAATACAAAAGCTCTACTAGAAAGCAAACCAAAGTAGGTATGCTGATTTAGATATACCAGTCTCATGGTTTGCTTCTAAGTGAGGAAAATGAGCAATGATCATCAAAATAAACCACTTAACCAGATTTTTTAAAAAAGTCTTTCCTTATAAACTTTCTATTAGATCCAATAGGTCAAAACTAATCTTAGCCCTCATTAAACCTACTGTCTCTCAAAACCTAAAATCACTATCGTAATATCTCATTTTGCCCTCTTTGCAACCAGTACACATTACCAGGTAATATTTTTCAAAGCCTTTATAAAGCATTTGACTTAAAGACAGGCACGAAAGTTAATTAAAACCAAAATGAGATACTTACACAACAGGAAAGACTTTGGGAAACACAACACTGGCTTCTGCTAAGTATTCATAAAGAATTCGTTGATCAAACTCATCTGTGGTATATTTTACCAGTGTAGCCTGCCAAGATGCAAAAAAGTAAACAAACAACATTTTTACTTTGTGGCTGAATTGTTATCTGTTTTTGTGAGAAGCAGAAGACTGTATCCTCTTCATGTTTTTAATATTTAAGGGCCTCCTAAAAGTGGATTGGAATAAAAATTTGAGGGTGGGAGACCCAGAAAGAGGAAATCCTTACTAGAACAGTAAGAAGCAGTGCTTGGATCTTCGGATCAGTAAGTACTTCTTCATCCAAGAGAACATTTGATTCAGACACTGAAACTTTACGTAAATGTGGGTGCTGTTGTGATGAGGAGATCCTCTGAGTTTCTGCAGTAAGACAGGGAATTAACATGATCAGCTGTATTAAACACCTGAATAATCACTTCACCAATTTCAATGTTACTTCTAAAATTCAACAGCTTTCTTTAGTAGACACTTAACATAAATATCATACAGAATTACTATTCACCTATACAAAGTTTCGGCTACCTATTTACAATGCTGTATATAATATATATAATAAGTTTTACACAAGCTTCAAGATAACTGTCATTTTAAGAACAGTTATGTTTTGAGAAATGACAAACATTTCTATATTTCATCCTAAAGAGCCTAAGAAATGGCTGAAAAATAAACATGACTTTAATGGACTCTCCCACCTTATTTTCAATGACCTAGATCAATAATTTGTTTCTTACCCATTTCATAATCGGTTTCTGCTACCCTCCTCATTTTGGGGGGTGTTGTGATCCCCGATTCCATTTCTTGCCTTTTAGGAGCCTTTGTGTCTGATATCAAGTGATCAAAACTCTTCCTTGTTCCTATAAACAAAAGTTTCAGAATATGGGAAGTTCAATAACCACAGTGTCTATAAATTGGAATATACTAAAAAAAATGTTTGGATATGAAGCTTTCACTTATGACTCAAAGAAAGCTCTAATATATCCCTGGAGCAGAATTTCTTTCCTTTATTCTACATCTTCTCAAAGGGTTTGGTTCCCACAGCTTTCTGTTTCAGGACAGGATGCACCTTACTGGTACAAATCTGAGATTATATTCTGTGCACTGAATACAAGGGTAGGCATTATTCAGTAGCAAAGGTCAACTATGCCTGACCAGTCTTTTCAGTTTAAGAAATGCTGCTGGTGCCAAGAACTACTCATTAATACATGAGGAATTTCCAAGCTTAGGAAAAAAGCAGAGTTTGATTTTAGTTTTTTAAGCTTTGAAAAAACGATATGCATGCCTGAAAATACTAAAATCCAGCTATACTGGGAGATGCTGCAAAAACAGCAAGTAGCATAATATCCCACTTGGCTTTGAGTTTCTCTAATTATGTAATCATGTATTAACACTTCACCTTTTTTTTTTTTTTTGGACAGGGTCTCACTCTGTGGCCCAGGCTGGAGTGCAGTGGTGTGATCTCAGCTCACTGCAACCTCTGCATCCCGGTCTCAGGTGATCCTCCCACCTCAACCTCCCCAGTAGCTGGGACTATAGACACACACTACCATACCCAGTTAATTTTTCTATTTTTAGTAGAGACAGAGTTTCTCCATGTTGCCTAGGCTGGTCTCAAACTCTTGGGCTCAAGTGATCCAGCCACCTTGGTCTCCCCAAACTGCTGGGATTACAGGCATGAACCACCATGCCGGGCCAACAGTATTATTTTTTAAAAGCCAAAAATTAAAGCCAATATAATAAAATCTGACAATTGAACACTTGAGAAATAGAAAGTTCTATTATTTCAAGAATTAATATGAATAACTATTCATCACAGTCATAAATACCAAGGCCAAATAATTTAACAGCCCAAAGGGATCTAGTCCAGCTTCTTTGTTTCACACACATGTACACTGATGAAGCCGTAAGCAGTTAAGTAATTAGTCTGAGGTAGCATGGCTAGGGATCTAGATAATGACCAGACGGAAAACTCAGGTTTTCTAAAACCAGTCAGTGCTTTCCATACTACATGAGACTGGGACACTACTTTCTACATTTAGTTTTCCTTTCTTTCTCACTCTTCCTTTTTATTTTATTCTCTGCATTATTCCTGGAAGATCTCACTTTGCTTAAATAGCTTCAACTATCTGTGAGTTAATAAATTCTAAATGTTTACTTGTTTACTTCTTTCTTCCCGAATTCCAGGTACATCTTGTGGTTTATCTCTTAGGTATACACTCCCAGATGTCTTGAAAATATTTCAAATATAATCAACTAACCTAAATTTATCATGTACTATAAGTATATTAGTCCTGATTTCTATGAATGATTCAGCCAGTTTTTAAAACTAGAAACTTCTGACATCCTTCACAATCTTCTCCCCTTCCCTACCTGCAACAGTTGGCCACTAAGTCATATCCATTCTACTTCAGAAACCTATTCCAAACCTGATTTTTGTTTTTTTGAGACAGGGTCTGACTGTGCTGCCCAGATCAGCCTCAAGCTATCCTCCCGCCTTGGCCTCCTCAGTTCCTGGGACTACAGGTGTGCACCATTATGCCTAGCTCCAAATCTGCTGGGTCTTCTCCATTCTCCCATTGCTCCTGCCTTAGTACAGGGCCCATACCTTTTTTTTTTTTTTTTTTTTTTTTTTTTGCTTGGACCGCTATATCAACTTTATTAAATGGTTCCCTTGCTAAAAATCTCTTCCCATCTCTCCACATTGCTGCTAGAAAAACTTGGTAAAAATTAAAATTTGGTCATGTTCTTCCCCTATTTAAATATCTCAGCTGAATGCATAAGGCTAAATCACTCACCATGGCACACAGTCATTTGCAATTGAGTTCTAATCCTTCTTATCTCATTTCCTACCCCATTCCCCATGATGCTATGATGTATTGTCAGTTGCTTTCCTGCCTTTTCTTTACCTTTTCTTTATTCTTGCTATTCCCTGCTGCTCTTAAACGTACACCCTTCCTTATCCTGTTGTCTATTTTGCAAGCATACATTAAATCTATAGGACACAGCTCAAATGTTATCTCCTCTCTGCAGTTTTTTTTTTCTTCTAATTTCCCCAGATCTCCAGTTTCCTCCATCAAGACATATTGTTTTAATGGCACCTGGAGTTGCTATTGTGATTGGCTGATTATAAGTCCTGGAACTTATAATCATAAGTTAATTATAAGTCTTGGAACAAATTACGAACTCTTCTAGGGCAGTTACCGCATTTTTTTCACTTAGTACGTGGATTCAATGAATTCAATACTATATTTTTTCCCCATGTTTCTGAGGTTAGTTTTTCATTAACAATGGCATTGGCATGAAAATCCAGAATTACAAAACACAAAGTAACCAGGAAACTCCTAAAAGATTACTTACGGTGAGGTAATAATAGAAAGGAACTTAAACAACAGTAACACACCTATGTGGCTAGTAACTGTGACTGATATTCATCATGGTTTCTATTTCTTTCCTGGTTTACTGGCAGGGTACTTATGTTACAATTTGGTGTTTGTTCACTAATTTCCTTATGAACACAAATATTTTTCCAATACCTAAAGATACTTAAATACGTTTGCATGGATAACTGAAATCTGTTGAACCACTCACAGTGTTGGCCACTGAAATATAGATCCCAATGTATTCCAGTAACAATTATAATTTTACCCAATGGGATACAAGAACATCACTGCATTTCCTCTAAGCAGCTATGTAAGATCAGTGTTCTTGTTTGTTTGTTTTGAGACAGGGTCTCACTCTGTCACCCAGGCTGGAGTGCAGTGGTGCAATCCTGGCTCACTGCTACTCTCACCTCCTGGGCTCAAGTGATTCTCCTGAGTAGCTGGGACTACAGGTGCTCGCCACCATGCCCAGCTAAGTTTTGTATTTTTTGTAGAGATGGGTTTTGCCACGTTGCCCAGGCTGGTCTTAAACTCCTGGACTCAAGCAGTCCTCCCACCTGAGTCCCCCAAAGTGCTGGGATTATAGGTGTGAGCCACTGCACCTTGCCTAGTGGGTTTTTCATTCATTTACTTTCAGTTACTAAAATGGAAAAGAGTTTCATAGCATTTTAGGTGTACCTCTCAGAGACAATAATTCTATATATGTTGATGTAACTGAGCAATCTTAATTTCAAGAATCCTATTCTCTAGGCGGGCATGGTGGCTCACACCTGTAATCCCAGCACTTTGGGAGGCCTAGGAGGGAAGATCACCTGAGGTCAGGAGTTTGAGACCAGCCTGGCCAACATGGGGAAACCCCTTGTCTATTAAAAATACAAAAATTAGTTGGGTGTTGTGGCATGCACTTGTAATCCCAGCTACTAGGGAGGCAGGAGAACTGCTTGAATCCGGGAGGCAGAGGTTGCAGTGAGCCGGATTGCACCACTGCACTCCAGCCTGGGTGACAGAGCAAAACACTGTCTCAAAAAAAAAAAAAAAAAATTCTATTTTCTTTCAGTTATTGAAAAACATATATCTTTCTGTCTTTTCAAAGACAGTGTGGCAAACAGTACTATTACAGCTTCATACGATATTCATGTATTCTCTCAGATGACAATTTTGGAAAGTAATACAGGGTACCATTAAAGGCCCTGAATGCAGCAAGACTCTTCCCTTCTTGTAGATATTTATCTACTATGTCTCATGGTCCCATTCCCTGCTGGCCAGCCAAGGCAAAGCAAAATAAGGAGAGTCACAATACTTATTCTGAGATTCAGAAAAAACCGTTTCAAGGTCCCATTCTCATTTCTGTATCTCAACTTACAATGCTTAACTGATCTATCCAACTCTTTTAAATGGCATCAAAAACTGCGACACTGAGACAGAAAATTTTGATAATCTTGAAATTTCAAATAATTTTTCAAGAGTGAAGATGTCTATTTTAAATAATAATAATAATAATAAAATCTAGGTAATTTAGACAAACTAACCAAGCAACTTCTTAGTGTTGGCCTGAGAAGGCTGCCCCATGTCCAAGCTCATGGATTTCCTGGCTCGGGGACTGGTCTGGCCAACAGTTGGATAGGTGGCTGCAAGATACCCTTCAGAACCTTTAGGAGAGGACCATGGCTGATTCTCCTTTAGTGTCCTGAGAGATTAAAACAATAGAGAAAATTAATTAACATGGTGACAAATAACAACCATTGTTTGCTCCTTCCAAATGGCTGTCCTATTTCCTAACGACAGCAATTAATTAATTTTAAAACTGCACTTTAAAGGGCTTTAGGGTACAAACTCTTGATGTATCTCCAGGAATTATCAACTTTCTTGCCATAGTATCTTATAAACAGTAGGTACTCACCAAATGCTGAACAAAAAGAACTGTACTGCAATTTTTAAAAGCTGACAAATAAAAAGGTATATATTAAGTGTCCAGTCTTTTAGCTTCCCTGGGCGATATTGAAAGAAGAATATACTGGGGCCGGGCGTGGTGGCTCAAGCCTGTAATCCCAGCACTTTGGGAGGCCGAGGCGGGTGGATCACGAGGTCGAGAGATCGAGACCATCCTGGTCAACATGGTGAAACCCCGTCTCTACTAAAAATACAAAAAAAAAAATTAGCTGGGCATGGTGGCACGTGCCTGTAATCCCAGCTACTTAGGAGGCTGAGGCAGGAGAATTGCCTGAACCCAGGAGGCGGAGGCTGCGGTGAGCTGAGATCGCGCCATTGCACTCCAGCCTGGGTAACAAGAGCGAAACTCCGTCCCCCCACAAAAAAAAAAAAAAAAAGAAGAATATACTGTGCCACATAATAAAGTACACTAACACTAACAGTAGTTGATGAACTTAAAAAATCACAAAAAAATCTCATAATGTTTTAAGAAAGTTTACAAATGTGTTGGGCTGCATTCATAGCTGTCCTGGGCAGTGTGTAGCCAGTGGGCCACGGGTTGGACAAGCTTGGCGTACAACATAATGTTTTAAAATGTTTACATTGTAGGATGGCTAAATCAGTATAATTTGGAGCCAATTAACATATATATTGCCTCATATGTTTATTTTTTGTAGTGAGAATACTTAAAATCTCCCATAGCAATTTTCAAGTATACGATACATTGTTATTAACTATAGCTATCATGTTGTATAAAGGACCTTGAAATTACTGCACTGATTTTTTTTTTAATCAGAAAAAATCAAGTCTAAATAGGAAATTGTTTAAAAATCAAGAAAATCAGACATTAAATTACACTTTGACAGGGGAACACAGGCAAACTACTTTACCCTTTCCATAACAAAAAGGGCATACCTCAAAGTAATATAATAATGGGACAGACAAAAATAAGACTACTGAATACCAAGTATGTTGAAACATTTTTGCATACATTATTAAAATCTTAAGGAAAATTGTTGAAGTCTTTTTATCAAAAAGCAGGATGTTGATAAATGGAATGATATGAGTTTTACAAACAGAAGATAACTTTTCTATGTTCAACACTGTCCCTAAACCTTAAATATATTTTTATTTAATTGAAAATATAGAAAAATCTCCCAATGTCATTTTCATGAAATTTCTCCAAATTATACTGAAAAATATACTACCCAAAACCATGTATAGCAGATATAATTACCATTGAAATCTACATTTTGGAAAACTTCTAAATGACTTTAGTGTGATTTGAGTAAATAAAACAAATATGTTAGCATGTGCATATTTTTACAAATCTGTATAGATTCATCCTCTATCCAATCATGTAATGTGTTGTTTATATTTTGCATTAGTTTTTTTCCCCAGGCCCTTCCCCCACAACCTAATATTTTCAAGAGCATCTCTTTTGTTGTTCAATTGGTTTGTGCTTCAGAGGCAAACTAATGTTAACATTAGCACAATTAGATTGGAAGAATAACTTTCCTACTAACTGACATAAAATACTATATATTTATAAAATGAGTTTTGATTTACACACTGTTCCTAGACCATCTCTAGATTTCCCCCATATTACCTTCTGGATTACTCTGCTGCTTGCCTCCATTAGTTGGAAAATTGAAACTTGATTACGATTATGTAATTATAGGAGAGTAAATCCACTTACCTGTAGGTAGGGTCACCATGATGAATGGGATATGTATCCATAGGAACATTTTCCATTGAAATATCAGTAAGAAGAAGTGACTTTCTATGTTTTAGGCTGCAGCGACTTCGAACTTCTTCAGACACTGTGAGCAAAGCTAAAAGGAAATAGGCAGCAGATTTAAAAATTTAACAAATCACAAGTGTGACTTAAAACAGGATGAACTTCTTACAGTCTCCTAAAGAGAATAATACCTGTTAAATGTGCACATATTTTGGAAGACTACATAAGCATGAAATATACAGAGATTTATTTAATAAGCATCTTTTATTTTCCAAGTGCTTTAATGTACATTTGATTTTAACAAACACAAAGTAGGCAGGGCAGGTATTAAGTTCAATGAGGAAAAATATTGAGAGGTTAAATAATTTGCTCAAGGTCATATGGTTCAAACAAAAAAGGTGACACATATGGAAGTCTGTGAAACTGAGAATCAGCACTTTCCATCAAAAAACTACGTTCAAGAATTGTATTGTACACAAGTGCTAAGTGTTGCTAAGTAGAGAAACAAAAGATAACGGCAAATAGGAAGCTTTAATGGAATGGTGGGGATAGGGCAGACATTCCAGATAAAATGGCATAAGGAATGAATATTGAAGAGGCAGTCACTTGTGGGAGATGGCAAGTAGATTAGCTTAAAATAGCCTATCCATTTGGAGTGGTAATAAAAAATGAGGCTCATGAAATTTAGAGAAAGATGACAGAACTGAGAAGGCTATTTAAGGGCCCAGGATGCTAGACTGAAGCATTCCAATTTTATGACAGATAACAGAGAGCCACTGTAATGTCCTGAACCAAAGATGACCAAGGGAACACATTTCAGATTTTAATGTGAATTAAATTCATATAGAAAAATGTTTTGGCAAAACTCTCAAAATTGTAACCACCACTAAAGGACCAGACTGTGACCTTTTTACTCTGCCAAGCAACCAGCTAAAGGACCTATAGGTATTTGTATTTTTTGGGTGATCCTTAGATATAGATGTTGCAAGATCAATTTTGTTTATTTTGTGTTTTTACCTGCTAAGTAGGCCACGCTCTGTGTATTCACTTCAAATTTGTCACAATTTCTGTGTTTGTTAACCAGAGTTAGTAGTGTATGTAAAATTCTGACTGTTCTTGCAACAATGGCAGGTGAAGGATGTCTGTACCCTACAAAAAAAAACAAACAAAAAAAAAACGAAGTTAATTAATTTTTTGAACAAGTATCTGCTGAGTTCTTATTCTCTGACTAGCAACTCTGCAAGGAAAGGAAGTATTACTCCTGCCTTCCAAGAATGCTATTTGGGAAGGTAAAACATACATATGTGAATGTGAGTAATTAATTACATATAAGATCAAGCACCAAAAATATGTAGAACAGAATATTCCCTAGAACCCTACAGTATTCCAGGAAGAGGAAAATTAAAAGCATGACAGTCTTTCAGATTTTCTATTCCCTAAAGCAGCACAGGGATTAAAAAAGAAAATCTATGTATTAGAATGACCCTTAAGATTTCTTTTGAAAATAAGAGTTCTTTTACAAAAATATTTTTAATTAAAAGAAAACCTAATGACATAGCAAGTATATGCTCTAAGAGTCCAATAAATAGGGTTGATTAGAGGATAAATTTGATCTTTGGCCAACTTTTAATCATTAATGCTACTCCATTTAAAAATAGGTGATTTGAACACGGAAAGTATCTGATATTCTTTTCTTGTTTTAAGACAGAGTCTTGGTCTGTCACCCAGGCTGGAGTGCGTGGTAGGATCTTGGCTCACTGCAACCTCTGCCTCCCAGGTTCAAGCAATTCTTGCGCCTCAGCTTCCTCAATGTCTGGAACTACAGATGTGCATCACCTCACCTGGCTAATTTTTGTATTTTTAGTAGAGACGGGGGGTTTCACCATGTCGGCCAGGCTAGTCTTGAACTCTTGGCCTCAGGCAACCCGCCTGCCTCAGCCTCTGAAAGTGTTGGGAGTACAGGCGTAAGCCGCCATGCCCAGCCTGGTATTCTTCTGGATATAAAAAATAAGTAAGCACTTTATTAACCCAGTTGCAATTCCTTACCTTGGTATCCTTTTGTAAGTGTGATATCTTTTGAGAAATCCCTACTGGCCTTAGAGATGAACACTGTCAATATTTTTTGTAGAAATTTCATAAGAAAGCGAAATGAAATGCATACATTCACAGAAGTGGGTGTATGCATATATATATCAGGCAAAAACTGGGGGAATCTCCATTATCCCTCAAGCCTAAGATTTAAATTGAAACAAAACTTGTTGACTCAAGCTGTAGCTAGAATCTCTATTGTGGCCACATCCAGTGCTGAGTCCACTGGGGTTCATGCCAGCTCCTTATCCCAGGTCTTACTTTACCCTTCCTTGCCTGACCCACTGCTACATGCTGTTCCTATTAACTACAGTCTCTGGCCATGACTGCCCCATGTTAATGAACCAAAGTTAACAAGCTGTGAAGTTCGCAATGGGGAGTAAAACCAGGTTAGGAAATGAATAAACTGGCTCTGAAGAATAGCTGGAGATCACTGGCTTTAAGCAATGTAGAAGCGGGTACGGGTAGGGTACCGGAAAGGTGAGGTACAATGGTATAAAATAATAGTATTAATCGACAGCAAGTCTAAGTAGCTGGAACTATAAGCATGTGCCACCACGCCTGGCTAATTTTTAAATTTTCTGTAGCGATGAAGTCTCACTATGTTGCCCAGGCTGGCCTCAAACTCCTAGCCTCAAGTGATCCTCCTGCCTTGGCCTCCCAAAGTGTTGGTATTATAGACATGAGCCACCACACCTGGCCTAGTTTGCATTTCAAGTAAGACATATGGGCTAAGTTACTTCAATTTATTTCAAGTATTCAATTATTCAAATTACTTCTGGTTTTTTAATACTATTTCATAAAAATATTCTAACATAGGCTTTTACCTTTTAAAAGGTGTCCAACCAGTGCAAAGTTAAAGTTAGAGTTGAAATTGAGTCCAACAAAATGATCCATTTGCTTGCAGTGCCACTCCAGAGGATTCCGGATTGCCATAAACACTTCCTCTGGACTCTATTAAAGATAATCATGAGATGGTTGATGAGGTTCACACAGGAGCTTTCTTTAAAGGCTCACTTAATTGGTTTCTGTGTTCAACAGTATGATAATATAAGTAATCCTTTCAAGGTGAGATAAATTATTTTCAGTTGACTGCAGAAAACCACAGAACATTTTAGCTACTACAAATTAACTGGTGCAAGACAATAAAGCATATAAATGAGAAGATGGTGGAAGATGAAATCACTTTTATTTACAATACAAAATAAATGACTCTCAATTTACATCCTGGTGACTTTTAACAAGCTTATAACTCTGATGCCTAGCATCCTAAGGGCACCAGAATCAAAATTAGCTCCTGCTACTGGGCTGCTCTGAAGATGAAAATGCCAAGGCAGATGCCCCATTTGCAATGCTCCATTTGCAAATATTCTTTTTTTTGAGATGAAGTCTCACTTTGTCGCCCAGGCTGGAATGCAGTGGTACCATCTTGGCTCACTGCAACCTCCACCTCCTAGGTTCAAGTGATCCTCCCACCTCAGCCTCCCAAGTCACTGAAATTACTAAGCTTGCACCACCCCAGCTAATTTTTGTATTTTTAGTAGAGACAGTTTCACCATGTTGGCCAGACTGGTCTCCTGACCTCAAGTGATCCTGCCAACTCAGCCTCCCAGAGTGCTGGAATTATAGGCGTGAGCCACTGCACCCAGACAATTTCCAAATATTCTTAACATATAATAGAAAACAGCTAGGTATCACTGACCACCATTGTCCCAAAACAGTTCTAGAAAAAGCGCAATGAGAATTAGGAAAGAGAGGTCTAGTCCCAAAACAGATGTACAAGCATGGGCAAGTTACTTAACTTCTTAGTTCCTTTCTAATTTGCAAAATGGAGGTCTGATTAATAAACCTCATAATATTTCCTACCTCTAAAATTTTGTTTCCTTATTTCTCAGACCCCTAGCTGTTCTGGGTTCACACTACATCTGGCAGACTGAACTAATAATGTTTATACCAAGTATCTTCACACTTAAAGCCATAATCCTGTTCTTTCTACCCACAGCTCAGTTAACTTCGCATCAGGCAAATCTCATTATATACGTAAATTCTTTTAAAAACACCCCCCTCTTTTCTCCTAGACTCTTTCCATTTTTATACAAAGACAAAAGAGACATAATTTCATACTATTTTATTCTCTCCTCTATTCTCCATGAACTAAAATCCAACCCCAACCAGATTTCCATTTTACAAATTAGAAAGTAACTAAGAAATAACTTGCCCATGTTCACACACACACACGCACACACTTAGCACCCCTCCTAACATTTATTAATCTTAATTGGAGTTGGATTTTATATAATATATATATACACAAACACTTTATATATACACACATATATTTTATGTGTGTGTATACATGTATACACCTTTTTTTTTTTTTTTTTGAGACAGGGGCTTGCTCTGTTGCCCAGACTGGAGTGTGGTAGCATGATCTCAGCTCACTGCAACCTCTGCCTCCCAGGCTCAAGCAATCCTTCTACCTTACCTTCCAAGTAGCTGGGATTGCAGGTGCATGCCACCAAGCCCAATTAAGTTTCGCATTTTTTGTAGAGACGGGGTTTTGCCATGTTGCCCAGGGTGGTCTCTAACTCCTGAGCTCGAGTGATCCACCTGTCTTGGCCTCCCAAAGTGCTGGGATTACAGACATGAGCCATCACTCCTGGCCACTAATGGTATTATTTTAAAGTGAGATTAGACAAAAGAAAAACTAGTAAAATTAAGTACCCAAAAGTTTCCTTTAAACTCTCCAACTTCCTTATCTACTATGAATTATACCTATTTTTCATTAAGTGGCATTATTAAATAAAAATAAGTTTACCTTTAGATTATTTCTTTACTTGTGAAATGGAGGGCAGAGAATGCTAACCTTTACCTTAGAGTTAGGAAAACTAAAAATAATGAATGCATAGTGCTTAGCATATGGCCTGGCATGGTAGTTACTATTATTATTATTATTTATTATTTATCTTTATTCTGTAAGGATGAAAATAATCATGTATTATTTGTCCTCATTCTGTAATTCTCCCAGTATTAGGTCAGTACTGCTTTTGTTTTTTTACTATATACATATTTTTTCTGAGATGGAGTCTTGCTCTGTCACCACACTGGAGTGCAGTGGCGCAATCTCGGCTCATTGCAATCTCCACCTCCCGGGTTCATGTGATTCTCCTATCTCAGCCTCTCAAGCAGCTGGGACTACAGGCACGCACCACCACGCCCATATAATTTTTGTATTTTTAGTAGAGATGGGGTTTCACCATCTTGGCCAGGATGGTCTTGATTTCTTGACCTTGTGATCTGCCTGTCTCAGCCTCCCAAAGTGCTGGGATTAAGGGCATTAGCCACTGTGCCTGGCCAGCTTTTTTTTTTTAAACTATTTTTATATAGAAAATACGCATTCAAGTTTACATAGTTCTTTATGAGCTGGTAAGGAAATATACTTACAATAAGTTACATTATAGAAATTGATATTTAAGTTACGAGCTTCTTGTGATGTCAAAAGAATAGCAACAATAAAAGAGGGAAGAGTAGTAAATCTGAGTAATCTAGGAACCAAGGAAAAGCTTGCTTACCTTGTCATTGAATATCCGGAGACTATCTAAAGTATGCAGGTTTTGTTCAAGAAGTGCAGTGCCTGCTGAATACAAGTTGACCTCATCAAGCTGCAGCACAGCCACAGCTACCCAAAAAAGGGCTTTGTGCAGAGGCGAGTCCTGGCAAAGGAGACATGTTTGAGGCTAGTAATATGAATCATGAAGTAGTCTCTTTCAAAACACACTGCAGTTAAAAATGAGGCAGCTTATCTTCCTAAATTACCCATGTTTTCTCTTTTGGGGAATATAAAGATATGGGTAAGCTTTTCATCTTTTCCATATGTAAGATACTGTTAGCTAGACTGAGAACCTTACTTAGCATTCTCCCTGTACTTTAATCTCTAAATCCAGTTACCCAGGTTTGTTGATTCTTCCAGAGTGGTCTCTTTTGTATCTGTCATTTCTTTCTTATTGCTAATAACATTAACCCATGCCAACCTTATTTATTATAAAGGTGGATTCTTTTTACCTCACTTTCTCCCTAAGCCAATCCACTGGGCACACTACCACCAGGATCTAAGTCCTGCTTTCGTTATATAACTTGTCTGCTTAAAAACTGTACATTTCCAAACTCTTTTCTGAACAATGCTGAATGTGAGATGAGGTCTATCCAGCCCTCACAACTTTCCCTCTCTACTCTTTTGAAAAGTTTCTCCATTACAGCTGTAATGTTCTACCCACCTTCCCTCCATCGTGCCAGCATTCTTGTACAGTCCTATTGCTATCCTTGCTGCTCAAGGCCTTTTGCTTGCTCCCTTTCTCTCTACCTACATTGACTCCTATGTTTCCCCTTAGCTTGAGTTTAAACTCTATCTTTTCAACTTCTTGTCACTCTTAACCAGTATAGTAATCTCTTGCTACTCTGAATTAGAAGCATTTATTATCGGTAATCCTTATTTAGCAATGTGATATTAGGAAAAATACATGGACTTTAGAATCAGATAGTATCAGATTAGAATCATGGTTCTTTTATTAGGTATGAGACCTTGGGCAAGTTATTTAGCCCCTCTGAGCTCATTTTCACTTATATGACAGGGACAAGAGAACCATTTTGTTTAATATAAAATTAGGATGTTTGTAGACAAACCAGGAATATAACAGGTATTTATCTGTTATTTCTCCCAAGTCTGGCATATCTGTACTCAAATCACAGAATTAAACCACTTTAGAATTGGAGGGCAATACCATGCCATTATCTAATCTAAGATTACTCATTTTATTAATATGAAAACATGATGTCTAGAATCAGGGCACAAAGCTGGGATAAGCTCAGACCATCCTAAAACAGTGGCCACATCATTTTACTCCTTTTAAGTATCATCTTCATTTAGCACCCAAACTCTTCCGATGATCAGGTATACTTCTCTCAGCCTTAATTTCTCCACAGTAATAATCACTAACATACTATGTATTTTGTTTACATTATTATCCATCCACTCACCAACCTCCACACCCACCCCAGAAAGTAAGCTCCATGAACGCAGTGAGTTTTATGGACTTTGTTAGTCCTCTATCTTTGGCACCTAGAACAGTACTTGGCAAGAGCAGATAATTAATACTTATAAAAGAAGTAAGAATATATACCTATCTCTCCTTTAGCATTGATGAGACAAAAAACTTTCAAGCACTTGAGAACATACTATCCACACTTACTCTTCTTCTAATATAACTACTTCAAACAACTAAACTTTAAGAGGTTCTACTTTATAGCGTTTTATTCATAGCTTATTCTCAATTCATCTTATTTTCTAAATTCTTTGAAAGAAAACTACATTCAACACTGATACCCAAAATGAATGTACTCATTTTCTATACAGTAATTACCTTATTAAGAAGTGGCTGTAATTTGGTTAGTGCTATTACTGTAGCTTCTATCAGAACTTGACTGTTGTAAGTATCAGGTCCTTTTAAGCAACTTTCAAGTGCCTTTTAGGAAAACAGAATTTTTAATTTTACTTTCATTGAAATAAAACATTAACTCCTAAACTGAATCTCAGAATAAATTCAGGAACATTTACTTATTTAATAAATGCTAGAATGATTTTTAATGCTATGATGATCTTGGTAGCTAACTTAATGTACATTTATTTTCTTATTTTTGATATTTCTACATAAGAGTCTAACATTTTTTCTTTATTTTCTTTTTCTATCTATGGGGTGATCCAAATGACATTATTATAGTAATTACAAATTACATAATTTTATATAAGACTATAGTCTTACCATATAATTAAATGCTTTGAAAACTGGTAAAATATTAAGTGTACCTGTTTAGCAAAGGAGGCATATTGAAGCAATCAGAGTTTACAAATAAAGACATCTTCTTTAGAGAAGATTTCTTCAAAGAATTACAATAAAGAAAATAAAATACATTTTAAAGGCTTAATAAATAACATGATATTTTATTGAACTCAAATTTAAATGTCTTTTAGAAAAATGAAAGATACGCTTTACAACTTGGGAACCATAAATATTCAGGAGAAGTACAAAACAAGTACCTTGCTAAGAATACGGATAATCTGCTTTATCTGCCCATGAGACACTCGTTTGCTAATACAGCCAAAGACAACAAGAGCTCTTGGTTGCAGGGATGGATTATATTGGAATGCGAATCTGCAATTAAAAGATCCACAGAACTTATAAAAACCTTTGTGTTTATATATACTAAATAATAAATTATAATACTGATCATACAGTAATAGCTTTATTTTCAATAATACACACATTTTTACAACTTATATTTAATTTGGGACATACCTTTGAGCTAGTTCTGTCCACTGGTCCAGCCACTTGCATGTTGGAATATCTCTCATGCATGCCTAAAAAAGGGGATACTCTGAATATATATGTACATAAATGTTTTTAGAACTGTTTAAATGTTTATTGTAATGTCATTAAGTGACCTGTTACCAATAACACATTCCATGCAAGTGTTTTTATTTAAGCATTAAATACAAAATAGCACAATAAACCAATATTTCTTCTATATAGTATTTATTTATTTTTTTTTTTGAGACTGAGTCTCGCTCTATCGCCAGGCTGGAGTGCAGTGGCGTGATCCCCACTCACTGCAACTTTCGTTTTCTGGTATCAGCCAATTCTCCTGCCTCAGTCCCCGGAGCAGCTAGGACTACAGGCACGCACTACCACGCCCAGTTAATTTTTTGTATTTTTAGTAGAGATGGGGTTTCACCATGTTGACCAGGATGGCCTTGATCTCTTGACCTCTTGATCAGCCCGCCTCGGCCTCCCAAAGTACTGGGATTACAGGCGTGAGCCACCGCGCCTGGCTAGTATTAATACATTTTTTAAAAAAGATTTTAACTTAGTTTCTTATCATTTTGCCTTATATACCTCCATGATCTCCAACAAAGCTTCTGTGACTGTTTCCAAGGATGTCAAAGCAAAAGTCTCCCTCTCATAGGAGCCAGGAGAAAATGACCTGTCCCGGTAACTGGAACGGAAGGCAATGACGGCAGCTGATTTGACTTTGCTAATGCCAAACAGCAAGTAAAACTTGGGTAATGAGAACTCTGTCAGACTGAGTCTCAAAACTTGCTTGGTCTCTTCTGTAAGAGAATAAAGGAACAAGTAAAGACAGAAAATATTACTTTTTGATTTCTAAAGTTCCATGTTTCATTTCAAATTTAGAAAATTTGAGTATCATATAACAATTACATAATCATGCTCCCTAAATCTAACCTCTAAATACATTATATTAAGGCTCCTTGTTCTAGCTCCATTTATCTACAAATCAGTGCTGGTAATGGAACACAGTCAACTGGCACTGAGTATTTCATTTATGTGATAACTACAAGGGTCTACATGACAAGTATGCACAGAAAATCTTTACTGTAGCTTGATATGAAATGGAAGTAATGGTTTAAGTTCGCAATTTGGTGTTAAGGCATCAACATAAATAATAAGATAACCTATATTGATCAGGTGAAGCAAAATGCAGAAAGGAACTGGTAAACACAAATTCCTTTCCAAGAACTTACCACTAAAATGAAGCTGTGAACAAGTACACAGAGAGTGAATGATATTAATGACCAGTCCATGTGTGGAAGCTCTAAGGGAAAGTGGACCCGTGGCTACTAAGAAAGTAACAACGTGGAAGAGGTAGGGAAGATGAGCTGCCACATCAAGGGAATTGTTGAAGGACAGCATCAGCATGTAGCGTGCTAAAATAGCAATATCATCCCACATGAGATGTTGTTCTAAAGTAGGAGTTGGAGATAAGCATGTCTTGTCAATTATTTTGCACATCCTTCCAATAACCTGTAAAGAAGCAGAATTTTTTTAAAAAAACACAAGACTAAAAGTTTTATTACAGAAGTTCAGCTTAATTTAAAAGTAATTACAAAACAAAAAACCTCTTGATAAAAACAGATACGCTCTAGTACAGAAGGCAAAAGCAAAGTGATTGATTACCTTGCTTGAAACCAATTTCACATTTCCAGAAGCCAAAGCTACAGCAGTATCTGCCATCACTTCAGCTTTAATTGATCCCAAGCCACCTGTTGCACTGGTTTTGATGAAACTGTCTAGCACAACATCAAGCAGATCTGTAATCTAGTTGAATAAGGAAAATAACATGTTTTTACTCTACCAATTTAATTTTTAATTAAAAAATACTCATTGGAACAGCCCAATCAATATGAAAATTCTATTTTACCCAAGGCCTCAAAAATACGAGATTTTATTTACAGACCTGTCAGTAAATACAATTTATCATAAAATACCCAGGAAAGGATGAGCATATTCATTTGATTTCTTCAGAGATTAAGAGATTGGTATTCAAAAATTTAAAATCTCTATCAATACTATCTTCATTCACTTGCAAAGTATCTCTGCATTTTTCTAAGACAGTAATGTATGATCAATATAAAATAGTGATTTGAAAATATAAAGCTGGGTGTGGTGGCTCACATCTGTAAACCCAGCATTTGGTGAGGCTAAGGCAAGTGGATTGTTTGAGGCCAGGAGTTCAAGACCAGCCTGGGCAATGTGGCAAAACCCCGTCTCTACAAAAAAGAAAAAATACAAAAATTAGCCAGGTGTGTTGGTGTGCACCTGTAGGCCCAGCTGCTTGGAGGCTGAGGTGGAAGGATCACTTGAGCCTGGAGGCAGAGGTTGCAATGAGCCGAGACTGCACACTGTACTCCAGGCTGGGTGACAGAGTGAGACCCAGTCTCAAAAAACAAGTAAGTAAAATATAGGAAATGACATGAAGTACCAAGATGTTCTCTAGGGCTGTAACACTGGCTCCAAGGTTATTTCAAATTATTTGGAGGAGTTGCAGCATTTTTTGAGTGAGTGCATTATTTCCTTAAGTGATTACTTTAAAGAAATGATATGCATAATTCTTGTCAATAAAAATGAAATTTGCATTATATCCTATTTTTAATATTGGCATTCTTTTTTTTTTGAGACGGAGTTTCGCTCTTGTTACCCAGGCTGGAGTGCAATGGCACGATCTCGGCTCACCGCAACCTCCGCCTCCCGGGTTCAGGCAATTCTCCTGCCCCAGCCTCCTGAGTCGCTGGGATTACAGGCACGCGCCACCATGCCCAGCTAATTTTTTTGTATTTTTAGTAGAGACGGGGTTTCACCATGTTGACCAGGATGGTCTCGATCTCTTGACCTCGTGATCCACCCGCCTCGGCCTCCCAAAGTGCTGGGATTACAGGCTTGAGCCACCGCACCCGGCCAATATTGGCATTCTTATGTGGAACTATAAATGAAAGCAGGTGTCCCAAATAGCATCAATAAGAAAAAACATCTACTAACACCTTAGCACGTACAGAACTAGAATAAAACACTATTTACTAGAAATGTCATCATATTTCTACAGTTCTATGTAATATATATAATTCTATAAAATTATGCCATGAAGGAGACTGTGCAAAAAACTAGCTTTTCTCTGGCCCTGAGATACGCTCTAGACGTTTACAATTTTGAACCAGATGAAGAGCTGGGTGAGTGTCTACATGCTTTCTGAAGGAGAAAATTGCGTTTTTTACAACTCTATCCCTAGTGTCTACGGCAGTGCTTTGCCCAATGTGGGCACCAGATAATTACCTGCACAAAACAAATACTAGATAAATATCTGAGCAAACTCAATACCTGCCCAAGGCTTCCCCATATTTTTGCTTGAATAGATGGGTACATCTGTTTTTCATTTATGGTCATTGTTATCAGCTTGTCAAGAATAGCAGTAACTCTTTGTCGTTTGGCATCATCATTATGCTTGCAAAAACGAACTAGATTTGACAGCCATGGAGTCATGTATTCCAGACAAAGGTGTTTCAATTCAATACCTGGAAAAAAAAATACACTATTAGCATGTGATGGTCAATGAAAATCACATCAACAATTATTTAATATAAAGAATTCGGGGAAAAAAAAGGGAAACGGTAAAGACTATTACCTAGAAACAGGCCTGGCGAAAAGAGACTTGGCAAATATATTTTTGTAGAGGTGAAGAAGAAACAGGCCTTGAAGAAAGTAGTTTTAAAAGCCAGTAAGCCAATTTTTGAAAAGTTTTGTCTTATTTTCCTCCATTTTAATGTCATTCCTCTTTTTGTTAAAAAATTGTTTTATTCTCATTATAAAAGGAAAATGTGGTCGTCATAGAAAGTTTGGTAAAAGGAAAACATCACCACAAAAATGAAAACTGTATTAACATATTGGTGTATCATCTCATCTCTCCTCAGGCTTTCAAATTTATGTAGAGATAATGAACATTTATGAGTGTGTACACACATATAACCCACTCCCACTCCCCCACAAAAATTGGGATTATGCTATACATGCAGTATGCTCTGAATATTCTTTTCAGTCAATGTCATACTGAGATTATTTATTCAACATTACAAATTCTGCATAAACTTGTTTTATTTGAAAAAGCTTCACATTTATAAGACAAAAATTGTACAAAAATTTATCTATACACTTCACCTAAAGTCTAAAAGAATTTTTAAAATTGTGGTAAATATATACAATATAAAATTTACCATTTTAACTATTTTTAAATGTACAATTCCATGGCATTAACCATTTTTAAGGGCAGTTCAGTGGCACTAAGTACATTCAAATCATTGTGCATCCATCACCGCCATCCATCTCCAGAACCTTTCCATCTTCCAAACTGAAACTCTGTAACAAAGCCATTTTTTAGAACCAATAATTTAATCGGTTCCTTTTTCTTTGACTTTTGGCCTGTTCTCTTTTTTGTTTTTTGTTTTTTGGGGCTATTATAAATAATGTCATATGAAGTTCTAAAGTAGGCAAAATAAATCTATGCAATAGAGATCATAATAGTGTTTACTCTTGGTGAAGGGAGGGTACTGAGAAGATCCTTCTGGATGCTGGAAGTGCTCTGTCTTGATCTGGAAGATACTTTCATGATGTATTCACATGTAAAAGTTCATCAAGCTGTTCCCTTAAGATCTTGGCACTTTACTGATAACAAGATACATCTCAATTTAAAAATCTACATAAAAATAATGCTATAATAAACATCTTAACATTAATTATTTAGGATAAATGCTGAAAAGCAGAATTATGAGGCCAAAAGGTATGAATAGTCTTAAGGTCTTGTTAACCACTTCCAAATGCCTTTCTAGAAAAATTGCTCCTGCTTACAATTCCACAGACCACCAGGAATAGATCTTAAAAAAAAAAAAAAAAAAAAAAAAAAAAATTTTTTTTTTTTT